AGATAAGTACATATGTATGTAGAAACATTCATAAATATATAGTAAGTAAGTACGTATCTATAAAGGAATATGTTTTTCTATACTTGCTCGTAAGTGCGACTCTTGTCAGTAATCATCAAGTGACGTGAAGTTTTTTTCGAAAGCTGCTTTATTTTACGAGTATTTCAAATGTGATCTGCTCTCATAGCGATTGCGATCGCGAAAGCACTTGAGTAGACAGACAATTGTCGGCTTACTTTGAGTATAAACAGAAGCAGACATTCTTGCATCTCGAAAAAAGTTTAAGTAATTGTCTTTTAATTTGTATGTATGGCAATATGGCGGCAAAGGTTTTTGTCTAGATTTCTTAAGGCAGGCAAGGCAATAGAAACATCCATTGAGAAAATAGGTTTGATGACTTCTAAAATAGACTTTGCTTCACTTTTTTGCAGTCATTTACCTACTTCTACTTCTTATTTGGCACTACAACTGCTTGTCGGTTTGGGGGCAGACAGGCACTTCTGCGCTTGGCCCTTTCATTTTGTTTGAGGGCGCACTCGCTTTCTTTGTCCAACCATGGATGCCGAGTGGAATGATCTTTTCATTGGAGCATATTCATCCGTGCATAGAACATGCCCAAGTCAGCGCAATCGTTGTATTTTTTATGCGCTTAATTAAATTTATTCGTATCGTTAAAAGGCTCGTACAGCTCGTCAATCCATCACCTTCGGTACCCGCCCGCCACGGGAACAGGGCTGTAGATCTTGCATAGTTCTCAAGAAATCCCCCAAAGTCTTCTCATCTTTGCTTAGCATCTTTCATGTTTCTACGCTATATAATAGGACGGACATGATGAGGGACTTGTAGAACGGAATTTTTATTCGTCGAGAGAGTTCTGCTTTTCAATTGTGGAAATAGGATCCCATTACGTATCGTCGACAGAACCTTAAAAGTAATATTAAGAAGTTAATTCTGCGATAATTGGCACAAGCGGCGGGATCTTCTCTCTTGACAAAGTACACAGAGGTTCCCATCTTCAGGTAACGGCTGTTCGCCGCCCGCCTGTTTTGAAAAGCTTGGCCGGTATACCGTCGGCACTGGGGTATTTTTGTATTTTTAAAAAACATCATTCCGGTTTTCATCCCCCGATGTTGCCATTCATAAGCGTTGCGAAGTTTACTCAAGTAAACTATGGTCATCCGTTAACAGAGTTTCAACTTCGTCTCTACAGAAGTCAGCCTTGGTCTTGAAGCCATTTGATTGCTGCCTTTTTTTCTGATACAAGCTTTCAAGCGGTCAGATTGTCTGCACCGCAGCTGTTTTGGTTTTGAATATTGTTCGAATTTGTTTCTCCCTAACTCTATTTTCTTTAGCCTATTAACAGCGGAATGTAATGATTTCCTTTCTAAGTCGTAATTTTTTTTATACCAAGTTTTGCAGTTTTTATAGCTTGGATCTGACGGAGATATAAATATTAAATTCCAGGCCTTTTTATCTTTAGTAGGACTTGTAGCCCAAATCCGCTTATGGTATTTTGGGTATAAACAATTTTAGTCAGGCGAATCGTCACATATTCTGTTGTAGCAAGTTGCCGTAGAGCGATGATCGAATCGACGGATTCTATATAAAACAGACTACCATAGAATTTAGCTTAGCGATCAGAATTCCTCAAGTGGTGTCTTTTCTTAAACAAAGTATGCACATCGAAAGCTTTCCTACAAAAAAAGCAAAGGAAAGAACCGGCTACCATCTTGAGGAACTTTCTATACCGTCGCGACGGTTTCAAGACTGAAAATGAAACTGGAGCTGGACGGCTTTTATATGGCATAGTGGGTGGTACGCGACAGACGGCGCGGACAACAAGTCAGGGCTTGCTGCGATAGCCAAACTGGCCTGGAGACTTTGAAAATCGCTTGTAACGTTTTAGCGCTGTACGTGCCATTTTGATGCGTTATCTCTGGAATCTGTGATGCTGTCTGCTACCATGATTCGTTGGTATCTTCAAACGACTAGAACTTGTCGATGAGCATTCAGAAATCTCTTTTAGATCTTGCATGAAAAATTTGCTTAGTATTTCATAGCTTTTAAGCGCTAGTACCCGACTAAGCGGAAGCCCCTGAATCTCAGGGTTAAAAATCCAATCTGGTAACCGTGGTTGTTGCTGATGCCAATGCTAGACATGCTCCTGGACTATACGAAAAAGTGGATGCGTTTGGTACTCCTTCACAGTTTCTTTCCTCCTCGAGGCTTAAAAAAAAATCGCAGGTAAACTCAGAAGGCAGTAGGTACTGGTGAGAAGTACCCTTGGTTATGCTTTCACTAGGAAAGATAAACATCTTCCGAACAGAGCTGATATCAAGTTGCTTATTGGCTATCTGACGGGCCATAATAATCTGCGCTCTCTCACACGCACCAGATTGGTATTTCCACAGAGACGGATTGTCGTCTTTGGCTTGAAGACATTGGAGCACATTATATGTGATTGTCCGGCATTGGCCAGACTAAGACTGCAATGCTTCAGTTCTTCCACAGTCGGTACCCTTAAGGTTAGGCATTCGTCTACCAAGAAACTTTTAGAATTTAAAACGGAGGCCGTCAGGGTTAGGAACCATCACAGGGATACAAAATATCTTCTAGGCCGCGGTGTCCTTTTCCGTTACATCCAAACCATTTACATTACATTATAAGGTAGTCGGAACGGGCATGGGTTGACCAGATTTTCAGAAAACACCACGGCAACACAATACAGTATATCGACGGCTGAGTGAAAGTTCGACCTATTTCGGCAGGTGGTTCGAAAACGCCCTATCTCAGCAAATTTTTCAATAACACCCCATTTCAAAATTTGATTGAAGAGCGCTCTATCTCAGAATTTGTAAAAGCATGGTAAGTTAGTATTGGCCTTATACATAATGACCGTATACATTCACAGTACAAGTTTGGCTTAAGTCCGTATTTTTTATTGAAACAATTACATATTAACACACTGTTATTACTTTTTGAAAACAAATTTTTTCGAGCACTAAAAATTCGAAGCCACTTTTATTCCTGCACTCGATGTTCCCAAATCAAAACCAATTTATTTTGCTAGATAACCAGGGATGGAAAAGTAGGTACAATTGTACCTTTTTCCGACTTTTTCGAACCAAAAGGTACATTCGGTGCACTGAGCTTAATTTAGGTACAATTAGACGATAGCCAAATAAATATCCATATTTAAGACTACGTTACCGCGAAAAAAAATTAAGAAAATTCTTCTAAGCGAGGAGAAATGGCAACTCATATATCATTGTGAACATGTTATTATGGCAAGAAGAAATCTTTGCAAAGTGGCCAAGTTCCTTAATTAAATTCTTTGCGAACAGTGAAAAACTTTTCACCTTTTGGAGGATTTCATACTGCATGTATGTCAATTTCAGTTGCGAATGAGTTGAAAGTGCGGAAGAATATAATTAAAGGCGGTAATATCTGTAGTCTGAATGTAATCTGGCGAACATTTATTCTTGCAACGGTGGATAAGTAAGAAAGATTGAAGCCCAAGTTCGGCTGCCTACGAAATACCCCATAATGTTTTGTATCAAAGGCCTGGTTTAGAAAATAGACCCAAATTGTTTATGTATGCAGTGCAATCTAGTCCAAATAGAAAGCCTTGAGCATTTGCTCTTCAAGTACCCAATTTATTATTTCTTTAGGGACGACTACATATCACCCCTTGTAAAAGAGTTTGAAAACAAACTAATTCATATATTACAATTGACCGACCAATTTACAGTCAGCATGGTGTACCTTTATGTTGTGAGCTGTTAGCGATTCAGAGCCAACATATTAAATAAATAAATTGTGTAAACTAATGCAATTTTCTTAAATTCTTTTTTAAGTAGTTTTCCTTTCAGTATATTTGTGAATAATTGTGTAATTCTCAACCATGTAAACTCAAATGTAACAATATGAGAAAGACCGCTAAAACAAGACCGTTCCTAAGCAGGGTTAAATAAAATGAATGATACGGAAAAAATTATACCCCTTTTTTATATCAAAAAATATTTAGAGGTCGCTTAAAGTTGTTCTTGTATTTTATACGGGGGAAAAACCAGTTTTCTTAAAAATGGTTTAGAATTCTTGAAAATCAATATTTCTTAATTGGAAAAGTTTGGTTCTCTTTAAGAGACTGCTAATGATAATACCCAATTGTTAATTTTACCATCTCCAATAATAGCGATTTGTTATGGGTTCCCCATTGCATTTTTGAGGGTTTTAGGGGTCTTAAAAGAAATAGTTAATCGTATAAAATGGTTAAATAAATATTTGGGTAATATTATTGAAAATCTCCAAAAGAGAAACAAAGTTTTCCGATCGAAAAATCTATACCATTTCTACAAAAACGATGTTTTCCCCCATATATAATATTTCCTCCTAAATATTTCTTGATTTCTAAATAAAGACAATTTTTATCGGTATAGTTCAGTCATAGACAGTGAGATCATCAAAATTCCGACTATACTTTTATGTGGACCCCAATGTACCTACATACATATGAACATATATTTTTATTGAATTTTTATGAATATTAATTCAACTGCATCGATAGATTAATCACTTTCTTGTTTATGCAAATAATGTATAAATTTATTCAATTGTTACCAATTGTCTGAAAATAATAAAAAAAGTTAACAAAATCGTGAGCTACTTTGTAGGTACATTTGATAGCAAAAAGGTACATTTCTATTGTCAAATTGGGTACAATTTGAAATTTCGATTTTCCATCCCTGTTGCTAACCAAAGCAATCAACCACTGACAGCCGCGCCGCAGCTGCATTTCCATCGCAGCCGCTAGATGCTACCCACACATTTATGCATATTCCCACACACACACATACACATTTTTATAAAAATCGAACGCAGCAGCTCTGGCGGTTTGACAATCCAATTGCAGCAAGCTGCTAAACACAATGGAATTAAACAAAAATTGGTTTGGCAAAGTTTTTTTTTTTAAGTAAAACGTTTTACTTCTGGGAACTTACACTCTTCTAGCTGTAGCTTGCACAATATTTGTTTCATAAATGTTTATACACTTTTGTAAAAGTCGTTCGATTTCGTTAGGAACCGTCGCGGTTACACCGACGTCAACGTTCTGTCGTAGAGGCACTGAGTATCGTTTTGTTTTTGCTAACTCCACTTCCTGCGCCAACACTTTTTTCTACTTTATTTTCAAGCCACACATTTTATGCTTTTATACAGCAGCAGCGTATTTCATTGCAATACTCGTGTTTCATTTATTTATTTAAAAATATTTTTACACTTTGCTCGGTTTGTCTACAATATGCTTGTTATTGTTTTTCACTATTTCATTTATTTTTATTTTTCTTTAATCTTCACTAGCGCTCTGCGACACGCGCCCACTCACGCATTTACGTACGTACACGACGGCGACCGCTTCGAAACTCTTTTGCTCAGAGCAACTGCTGGCTGCATTTTTCGCCCAGTTGTTTATGAATGTATGAGTGTTTGTATATCCGGACAGCATTCGCCGCTAATTTTCACTACTTTTTCACACAAGTGTATGTGAATGGTGGGGTTTGTTAAAGGCAACACTGAAAAACTGGTTCCACGTTTTTGTTTACACTGCGTGTGCGACTGAGATGGCTATAGTGTAGCGTACGCAATGCGGCGAATTTAAAGCGGCGAGTAGCAGCTACTTGGCTCTTTGCGCTGGTTGGATGACAGCTGTTATGTCACTGTTAAATGACAGGTAGTAAAGTACCGTACACAATGAAGTCGATAAAAGGCGTATCAAAGCGCGACATGGCAACAAGGCGTCTGACCAAAAATTTTTTGTTAAGCAGTATAAGAGCTTATGGAATCTCGGCTTTCGGTTGAAATTTACGCGAAAGCTAACAAATATTTTAATTAAATAAGAAAGTGGCTTAACTTTAGAATTATACTACCTCAAAACAAATTTGACAAATTGCTACGGAAAGTCGTTCCGTAAAACATTGATAAATAAACATATATTTTACCACTTGATTTTAGATCAAAAATTCCATTCAGTTAATAAAAATCTGCCAAATTTTCTTCAAAACGTCGGTTTCACGCGTTAATAATGTTCTTGGCCGATTCCACTACTGGATCTTTCTCTCTCTCTGTGGCTCTTGACAACGATGAGACTAGCAGCGAGAACCTGTGGCAGTGATGCCACGGGGAAATTTTTTCCTTACCAAAATTTCATACAAAAACCAACAAAAAACTACCACACATTTTTTAGAGGTTTTTATTTTTATTTTTATTTTTTTTCAATGTCAAGTTTATTGAAAATGTAGATGACATAACATTTAGTAAAACAAAAATAAAGCTACTACAATAAAAGCAAATTAATTTTTTTTTATGTCTCTTTATTGTTATTATGTATATAATTAATTCGGGAATAATCGGGCTGTGACCTAAAAAGATCTACTGAGCTAAACCCTAATATTAAAAGCTCCAACCATTGGCTATTGAAAAGCACTTTGGAGGGTGTCATGTTCCTTATTTTTGATAGAGAAAACAACCGTATATAGTAGATGTATAACTCGGGATCATCCAGGAATGGCTTGAGAACCTCCAAATGACCCCGAGGATATCCTAAGGCGAAGAAACCTGCTGATCTAATAAACCACCTTGTATAAATTCGCCTTGATCTGGCATCGTCTGCTCGTCCTCGGCCTCGCAGAGAGTACTTATGAGCGCAGGTGTGCGCCGAAGACTCTTGGAAACAGCGGGACTACAATATTGGCTGTGGGTATTAATAAGATATATACTCCCAGATAGAGTTGGTATAGAACAAGGGAACTGTTACCATTAACTTGGAGCTTTGTGACTTTGGAAATATATGCGAGTAGAGGTTTTGATAGAAGACAGGGGAAAATGAATTCAAGCTTACAAACAGCTCAGTGTGTATGAACGGGCATCAACGTCACACGTCATTTTACGATGACAGGCTGGAGTCAATGCCTTGTAAGACTTGACCACTCCCGGTTTTTTAGTCTATTGGTTGTTTACAGCGCTTTCAAAGGAACGGTTTTATAGACCAGTTTGTGAGATGAATTCAATATCCACCTTTATATGTACATGTACAATATGAAGAATTATACTTCCAAACAATGAAAATTCCCAAAGCTGTCGAATGAAAGATAGAAAGTAAGTTGTCAAAGATTTTCTTTCGACAGCTTTGGCAATTTTCATCGTTTGGAAGTAAAATTCTTCATGTTGCAGAGTACGTCTTAACCAGCGATGGGCAGAGAGAGCTTTTAACCTACGCATGCCTATACTTTAGTCTCTAATAGGCCATCACAAGTGTGCCCTTTTTTTGAGGGACAATAGCAGCCTAGATAGCCTAACCTTACCTATACATTTTGTATAGAGGCGTTAAGAGTTAAACTCTCTCTTCCCATTGCTGCTCTTAATACTTCTTATAATTTTAATAGCACAGTTCGTTAGCTTAGAGTTAAAAGTTGCCAAGTCAATTTTTACAATTACAATTTTGAATACATTTTGCGTGTTTAAAGCAAAGGAAAACTCCATACGAATCAGAAGGATTCGACCTTCATTAATAGATTTCCTATTATTTTGGCATAATCGGATTGTCGATTTGCCTTTCAGTATATATAAACAGAAAAAAAAATAAAACAAATACTCGATGAATTTTTAATTTCTCTTGCTACCTATATAAAAATATGAGTTTTCATAATTAGTCGAATTAGAAACTTTTCAATCTAAGCTAGCGATTTAGTTTGCATGCAGATTGAAAGCTTTGTCGCTGCGACTTTATTTGTGTTAGGCACTTTACAGTCGGCCCTTTACAGCCCAGCTTTTATGTTAAACTTTAATGGAGAGCTTGCAGTTGATATGAATTTGTGTAAAAGCCAAACTGTTATATGAGGTTTTGCTGTTAACGGAAATAAGAAGTGTGTACATTAGACCGAACCGAAAAAAAGTTCACCGTACACCCCAGAGCCTAAAGTATTTTTCGCCATACCTTTGGCATTTCGTCTGATCTTACAGTATTTATAACGATATTCTTGTCTGAAGGAGACAGTTTATTGACTTCAAGTACCCCGTTCTAGTACATACCAGCAGATCTCAGTCTCTACCACCCCAATGTCTGTAAATTAAAGATTAAAATAAGTATTTTGATTATTCCAGTAGAACTATTTTATATACAATCCCAAATAGAGTTGTCACCGATAAATGCATAAAAGGCGACCTGTAGGTTCGGTCCCAATTTTTTTTAAATTTTTCTACAATGTCCTTTGTTTGCGTTCACCTGCAGTCCTGCTCGACAGTTCCTCGTGTCTATTTTTTCCAAAGCGTTGTTTATTCTAGGCGCTCTCGAAGCTTTCCCTTCGATTACCTTTAGCAATTTATTGTTCGGCAGAAATCAAACGAGCGGTGACAGCACACACCCTAACAGAAAAAAAGCTGCTGCAACACTTATCAAAAAATGCATATTTAGATATGCCATCTTGCATCTAAAAGCATTCCGTTTTAATCTTAATACCAGAGAACGGTAATAATTACAGGCTGTCTGTTAACACAAATGTTAGAAGTTAAAGCTCAGGGTGCGTTTAACAAGGTGGTGTTGGGGGCGACAGCTGAGTTTTTCGCCGTAGAGGGCATCACGTCAAAATGATGTGTTTGTTGTAACTCATACCAATGACAGTATGGATATCTGCGGATAATTTGTTAATGTAATTTTTTTCTTATATACGGCCAACACCACCTTGTTGTTAAATACACCTTGTCAAAGCTATTAAGCTGCAAGCTTTGCAAGGCGAAAAGTTTTCATTAAAAGCTGTAAATCAGTAACGACGAAATCAGAGAACGTTTATAAATTATTAACTTTATAACTAACATATATTAAATTTATAAACGTTCTCTGATTGGAGGCTGTTAAAAAGCTGAGACCTGCACCCAATATATTTCACAACAAAATAGAATGTTAGCAAAACTTTATTCATTTAATTTCAGGAAAAAATAATTAGTTTGATTTACTTCTTCTACAGAATTAAACGAAAATCTCTATCGACAGTACCAAAGGAAGCGGCTGGAAGCAGATGATATAGAAGGCTATTCCAATATCGGCAAAAGCGCCATGCATCATCTTACTGACGCCATTGTAGGCGAATCGTACATTGAAAATTAGGAGGCAACACTATTAATAAATATGCTTGCAGAAGGGTAAATATTTTGTGTGTTATTACTGTACACATTTACCGACATATACATATTCATAAAAAAATGCGCATTCAAATTAATACAATAAAAATTTGTATTAAAAGCAGTGATAAACCTCCACGAAAATATTTCTGGATTAATATGCCCAAAAATACCTTTCGTTTGATGTCCATATTGAGTTATTTTAGTAAAAATAGGTGGCAACCCTATTCAAACATATCTCTGGATTGGAAATTTTTAAAATGCTTTAAATTTCAATATAATATTACGATATTTTATTTAAAGCAATACATTGTCTGAATTCAAAATTTCATTAAAATCTTTAGATATATAATATATGTGTATGTACATTTCTTATTCAAAATATGGCCAAAATTGGAATTCATCGAGCAAAATATTCCCTAGAAAGTCTACAACTATACAGCTAAATACTTATAAAATTCTCATATTTTTTTATTGACTTTGAAGTAGCGTCTTAGGCACCACATAACAGCTATATCGATCAGCTATAGGTATTGGGCTCCTTTTGAACCATTTATTATATTCTGCATAATAAACTGACACGTAATTTTTCATCTTATCATTTTGTTCACCTCCGACCACCCACAATTGATCACCTTTCCAAACACAACCCATGCATCCACGCCCAACGTTCAAAGAGCACACCTATGAAATGTAATGAATTTATTTATTATTTTTAACTTTTGATGTTACTACGAGTATTTCAACCAACCATTGTCCACTCGTTCATTTGTGGATCGTAACGTTCAACTGTTCTATTTTCTGTAATTCCACCTAAAACGTATATGTAGTCATTGTGTACGGCTACCTAAATTGCAGAAATGTAAGCATTTAAAAACGTTTTTTACGAATTTCTCATTTTGTTTTCAATTATTCACTTACCGATGGGAAATTATGAGCTTTATTCATATCCTCACACAGTGTCCAATTATTTGAAGATGGGTCGTAACATTCAACAGATTGGGAGTCGTGAGTTCCATCAAAGCCTCCCATAACAAAAATTTTGCCATTTAAAGCCACTGTGCCTGCCTGGCTTCGTTGCGTAATCATACTGCTAACTAATTTCCATTTTCCACCGGGTGAATACCTAAAACGGTTTGATGAATGAAAATTTATTGTTACTTAACAAAAACCAAAACTGGGTATATGTATGTACAGTCTGCGTCAAAAATATGAATACATAAAAAATTATTCGGCAAAGCACGCAGCGAAACAAGAGAGCTTTAAAATAATTTACATGCATTCGAATCGGGATTTTACTGGTCGTTCAACATAGTAATGAGAAAACCAACTTTGCATGAGTAAATTTTACCTTGATGGGTAGCTGAGGGTTAAAAAAAATTGCTTCATATGCATTTTCATCAATACTTACATTTCGACAGACCTTTTAGGCTGTCCATTTGTGACTTCTCCACCAATCACATAGATACTGTTATTTAACAGTACAACACTTGGCCAGCTGCGTGTGTGAATCATTGAAGGCAATGCTCTCCACGTTCGCGTTTTAAAGCTCCAGCTTTTAACACCGTTAGTTATTTTGCCATTTCGTTCACCACCAACGTAAATAATATTGTCTTGCATAAGAACCATACCGTATGCGTATGTATTATGTTGAACTTCGGCGCATTTGTGCCATTCATCTTCAGGTTCGTCATATGTAAAAATGGTTCCTTTTCTGTCCTGCAATATATTTATGTACATACATATATATTAGGGTGGGTCAATTTGTATGGACGAGTTTTTCGACTATGCGCGTATAGCACAGATGAATTCAACGCATTATTCTAAGCAAATTTGCAGAAGAAACCATGGGTCCAAAAACAAATTTGGAGTTTGTCAAATTGCGCAAATAGGTTTCTGAGCATTTTGCTGTAGTGTCGTAAAGAAGTGCTTAAAGTTTGTAAATAAACATGCTATAAGGGGCTTATTGGTATGAGGAATCCATTTCTGCGCTTAACGTTTTCTTAAAACTTCCACCAGAGCGCTCAACAGCGAAAATTTTCACATATCCTTCGAAACCTATTTTCGCAATTTGGCAAACTTCAAATTGATTTTAGAAACATATTTTCTTCGACATAGTTGCTTAGAATTAAACGTAGAATCCTCCTATGCTAAACGCACATAGTAAAAAAAAAAATAAAAAATTTATCCGCTCTAATATATATGTATGTATATAAGATCATATTTTCGAAGTTAAAACACATACACCCGATTTACATGATTCAAGTACTTGAAAGCAATTCTTGCTCATTCTCTTTTGTGTTTTCTATTTGCTTTTACACGTTTCAATTCTGTTGAATTCAAGTTTTTGGTTCTTTAAAGGGGAAGCAACGAAAATGCCAAAAGCAAAGCAAGAAAGTTGAAACGACTTGACGGTACAGACGCATGTGTACTCGTCCCTTTTCTTCTCACCCCCTCTCTTCCACATGCGAGCAGAATTGAATTCAATACTTGAACTGTGTAAAAGCAGTCTTATATACATATCTACATAAACAAGTAAAAATGTATCAGTTCGAGCGAAACCGAACTCTATATGTATGAGTGTATATTAGGGTGGTCCAAAAACAGTACAGTCGGAATTGCAATGCTCTCACCCCCTAGAATTGTTCTATGTCGAAAAAATTATACCCCTATTTTTTAGTTTAAAATCAAAAATATTTATAGGTCGCTCAAAGCGCTCAAAGTTTTCCATATATTTTTATATGGGGGAAATAAAACTTTCGCAGAAATGGTATAGAACTCTTGAAAATCAATATTTTTCGATCGGAAAACTCTGTACCTTGAAAACCTTGAAACCTTGAAAATTAGCTTCAAAGTAAACTCCTTGATTTTTTTAACATAAAAACAGCTTTCAATAGACTTAAAAAAAAAAATATACGCGTTTTTTGGTTCTTATGACCATGAAAATTTATTGCCTATAATGTTTACAAATTTTGTCAACCGAATCAAAATAATGGGATTTTTGGAGGTTTTTCAAATCGGTACAGCTCACGTAAATCTTAATATTTTTCCGAACCATTCTGGCAGAAACTGTAAAATATGGTAAATTTTAAAATTCCAGTGATTGGTTTTTTCTTAGAAATACCCCGACGAGTGGGAGGTCAAGTATATCGTGCAAATTACGACGGAAGCGCATAAACTTGTTTTCGTCGCTAAATTTTTTTCCGATACTTGATCATTATTTGGATCAAATAAATAAATGTGAGATTTGTCAATCACAAAAAACTACTAAAAATATTCACAACATCTTGGCCTAATAACTATCAAACATCGACAGACGATTTCATTGCTGACCCAAACATGCGACGCAGGGGTACCTTCGTTTTTTTTTTTAAATTGATGTTTAATAACCGTTTTTATTTCAGTTACTGGTCTAACATACGAAAAAAGAGCTGCCTGGGACTTATTTGTTGAATCCGGGTGACAAAAGTCTTTATCCTACCATCTTTGTTTATTTGAAACCAGGTGCAACAATGCCAGTATCTGTTGCAACGAACGAGCGGTCATTTTCAACCCTTCGAAGGTTGAAGACCTACATATTTGCGTAGTAGTATTGGGCAGGGGAGATTGATTGGGTTGGCGCTCCTAAATGTACATGGGGATCTGGAGGTAATCCCCAACAAGTGCTAGACGAGCTAACAATTTCCAATTAAAAAATAATGTATAAAATCAATATACTTAATATTATAAAAATAATAAGTTTCATAAACACCCGAAATTTTTTTCTGGATCTGCTCCTGACCGACGTAAAATCGGAGATCGTGTTACCACCGCATGACGTTGACGTTGTCGTTGCCCGTAAAGAGAGAGAGAGAGAGGAATCAAAAATTTGATTTGGCCCTATTTTTTTTTAAATGGCATTAAATTCTTCAAATTGGAATAAAAAATTTTTTTGTTCAGCTTAAAAGATCTGTACCGGTCGCCCGATTTTCAAAAATGAAATGTCAAATTAAAGTGCTTGGTCTGTAGATGTGCAAACTGGTTTTAGTTTTTCGAAAGGAGTTGCCACCTATTGATAAATTAAATTAAAATTACATAATAAGCAAATCCGCACCGTTCGTTCAATTTCCAAAGTGAGGCTCGGGCTGTAGATGCGCAGTAAGGCTTAACTTTTTCGAATAGAGTTGCCACCTTTTAAAAAATTATATTCAAATTATTAAAAAAAAAAATTAACTATTAGAAATTGCGTATCAATCGAAATGGTTTTGAAAAGCTTTGTTTCTTAGCTGAACTATAGGAGGGTTGCCACCTATTTAAAAAATCATATTAGATAAGAGAAATATGTATCACCATATGGATGCCAAACGAAAGGGGTTTTAGAAAGTAGTAGTTTGAAAATATTTTGAAGAGGGTTGCCACCTGCTCGAAATGTCGAATTTAGTTTACTTATACACAAGTTATGGAAATATCAAACGAAATTGTTAAGAAATCTTTAGTTTCATAGCCAATAATATTTTTGAGGTGTTGGGAAAGGGCTGCCACCTGTTTAAAAAGTTGAATTCAAGTTATTTTATAAGTTAAAGATTATACAACTTATGTATTTATCTTATTTTGGCATTGTACTTTTGATTTAGAAACATAGTTCTTAGTTTATTGCTAAATGGGAAGGGTTAATAGGAATCTCAGCTTTTTTGGCACATTTTGTTACCTTTTATCCTCAATATGGCACCTCATAGCTAAGCTGACCCCGAAAAGCTACGAAAGTAGCATATCGTGCCCTAACCGCCAAAGTAACGTAAGCGACATTTTTTTCAAAATTTTCTTTTTGATGCAGAAATATTCCTAGAGCGTCTAGATGCATTCCTGCATCAAAAAGAAAATTTTGAAAAAAATGTCGCTTACGTTATTTTGGCGGTTAGGGCTCGATATGTTTTGAATTGTACCGTTATTTTGAAACTCGTTTACAAAAGATTTGGACTTATATACGTGATTCCTATAGCTCTTAGTTCAAAAAAATCACTTCTTCGCAATTTTTAATTGTATCTACTCGTAATATAGGAAAACAATAATGCAAAAATCATTTTGTTGCACTTACATAAGCTTGCACCGCTATCAAAGTTAACTCTTCCGAATTTTCGCAAATAGTTTTTTCTCGTGGCGCTGTAAATTTGAGCGATATCTTCGTCTGATCTGATGGTAGCGTAATCCACGATATTGCCTTGTAAGCCAATAGCTCGCATCCAGGAAGTGTTTTGACATTTCTCAATAAGAAATTAGTGTCAAAATGGGTCAATCGTAGGCGACCAATTAAATCTGGTAGTTGTTGTTGTCGTACAGAAGTATCGTACTCATACCAGCGTTTTATGGCATGAAAAGTATCCTCCTCACAAGTCACATTCAAATTGTTGCTTTCTATCCCTGCAATTTTTCAGCCTCGAAACTAAGAAAATCGGGAGTTTGGCTTATCTGCAAAAAAAAAACGATCAAAAATACATTTACGTCAAGATAGGTACACATCGCACACTCGCTTCAAAAGAGACACAACTAAAAAAAAAAAATTTTGTTAATTTTTTTATAAATCAAATTGTAGGATTTATCGCCAATTAATGTCAATTTTTTCATTATTATAATCTCTAACTGGCACACTACTCTTGTATGCCCTTTTGTGTCAATTGATTTGAATATCTACGATCCATCTTGCAGTTATATTTCGGGATCTGAAGTTTGAGTTCCGCCTATTTTGAGAGAGTATGCGATATGTAATTATAAAAAAAAGTAAAAGCAATACTCGTATAACTCACTTCCATAAAATTATTTATTTCATATTCCAAGAGTTTCTCATACAGTGGTACACAATGAGTTTCACGCTCTAAACAATATGCCCGCTGCAATGTATACTCAGCTATTAAAAGCTCAAAGGTGTCACTGTCTATGTTATTTAATTCAATAACCGGAGTTAGGCCCTTGTGGCTTTTGAAAAGATCCTTAAAATAAGGGCTTGCCGCTGAGAGTATCAAGCGATGTGCTGGAATTCTGTGACAAAAAAAAATCAAATAAATATTTTTAACGACGCACAGTGGCAAAAAGTAACAGTTTTTCTCGGATTCGACTGTAACTTTTTATCTGCCGTATTTTTGCTTAGGAATGAAGAAATCTGAAAAAATCGCATAGATTGGCAAACTGCCACGCCCACTACACTAGCGCGCGGAAATAGGAAATGTGATCTGATTTTCATAAAATTCGGTTCGGTATCTTAGTTTTAACCCGAAAAACTGAAATCTGTAAAATGGTCGGCCGAATGTCGTGTCCATCAGTCATACAAATTTTTTTTTATAAAAACCGAGTTTTATTAAATTCATATAACATCTACCATTCGCCAATCTATGCCATTTTTTGTACTTCCTCATTTCTAGGCAAAGATCCGACATGGCAAGTTTCCGTAAAATCGGATATCAATTGCTACCTTTTGCGACAGCCCAGTCCAGATAAACGGAATGCCAGCAGGTTCTAGCAGCTGGAACTTGTTTCAATAGTTTACTAAGGGGTTTAATGAATATTCTAATTCCCATCTCTCATTAAAAGTCAATGCGAATGCGTTAAATCATATACACTGCCGGCAAAAGGTATTGGTACAGAGATTTTTTTTTACCATATATGCAACAATTTTCATTTTATTTTTTCCCCGCTAATTTTTTAGGATTTGTTTGAGTGTGCAGATTTGTAGCAAAATGAATTTTATTATAATAACATGCAAGTTTGAGGAAGCTACGACTCACCACTGATTTTTAGCAATTCTTATCACGCAGTTTCTTCCAAAAAACAAAAAAAAAAAGTGTTACAAACTACTTTGTAAGGAAAAACTGCAAAACACCTTCAACAAAAAAAAAAAATTCTCAAAAATTAACGCAATTTTTTAGTAACATCAAGCGTAAATTTTTTAATGGAATTTAATGGGATGTTCTCAACTCTGAAAGGACTAGGAAAAATGATTGAACCCTGTAATGGAGCAACCCTTGCATACTATTGAACTTGTCGTTAAAACAAACCCAACAAAAACTGCATTGCCAGTCTTGAGTCCGTGAAATGCTTGTTTGAATTTTTACGTAACAAGTAATTTTTAAGCAAAAAACAAAACCGACTTAAATTCTCATATAAAAATTTAAGATTGTCGTTAATTTCTTCACGATCAAGTTATCGGATCTAAACAAGATTAGTATGGAACCACCCTTGAGGTACCACCTTTCTGAAAAAAAGAATTATCGAAATCTAAAAAAAGTAAAATAAAAGAAAAAAAAAAAATTAAAAAAAAAAAATTAAAATAAAAATATTTAAAATTAAAAAAAATTTCCGACGAACTGATAACCTCCTCATTTTTTTGAAGTCAGTTAAAAATACGATTCATACAACACCGGCATCAAGTGCCCTTTGAATAATACTAGTGCCATTTTTTCTCCTGAAAAGGACTTAGATCATGTTAATAGGCATGTCAAGAGTCTGGCCGACCACTTAGTTATCTATTTCAAGACATTTCGAAACATGGACTTTCTGCCACTCTCAGACCACTGTGCGACGTGCAAATTGCGCAATTTCAACCCTCAATATCGTTTTCAAATTATAGCTGTTTACACTACTAATTCAAATTGAATTTCGATAACAGTTTGTTTATAATTTTTTTTTGGCATTTGTTTATAATTTTTTATTTATTTTTTGCGTTTGTTTTTATTCATTCGAGTTGTGAAAATTAGGAGTTTGTTATGTGGCGAGATCTAAAACTATTCAGCTACGGAGTTAAATTCATCAGCTGATTTGGATATGGTAAAGACATTATTTCATATATTGAGGGAGGAAAGTATTGCTTTCTCAAGAGTAAAAACCGAGTCCGATATGTCAAACGTCCTGGAATGAGAGTTAAAATCTTGGCACAAACAATTGAATGATTCGTTTAATTCAAAATTAGTTTTGCATGGCTTCAAAAATAAAGGTTGAAAGTGTCTTGATACTCGAGAGCAAACATTAAAGTTATGCCTGTGAAGTTGGCATACGGTATGACGCAAGAAGACAAAAAAGCTGTTCTGAGTAGTTTTTCAATAGTTTAAGAGTTCCTGAGAAGGAAGAGGAAAGTTCTGCAAAAAACCCGAAAAAATTGTTTCATTCAAAAAATTTAAATTTTTGAAAAAACAAGAAAGTTCTGCAAAATTATACCGGAAAAGGATTTTTTCGAAAGAGTGGAAAATTTTTACTTTTTGAAAAAAAAATAAAAAAAATTGTTTTGGGTAGCCTTTTAATATGTAGTAAACAGAATTCCTGATAAGTTTTAAGCTTTTTCGAATTAGTTGAAAAAATATTTTTTTTTTCAGCAAATCTAGATCTATTGAAACGCTATTCAGAACGGTTTGAATATTTATTTTTTTTTCAAACATTTAACTTTTTCGACTTTTATTTATTTCTTTTAAGAGTAAACTTCCGACTTTTTTGAAAAAAAAAAAAAAATGTTTCTATCGGCGTAATTTTGTTGCTCTTTTTTTCCTTTTCAAGAACTTTAGAGCTATCGAAAAGCTACTCAGAAAAGTTCTAATTTCCACTTTTTTCATAGTCAACTTTTTCGACTTTTTTGAAAAAATGATTTTTTTGTGTAATTTTGTAGAAACATTTTTTTCTTTTCAGGAACTCTAGAACTATTGGAAAGCTTTTAGAACAGTTTTAACTGTTATTTTTTTTTTTTAATTTTAATTTTCGAAAAGCTTTTTTAGCGTAATTTTGCAAAATTTGGTTTTCTTTTTCAGGAACTATAGAATTATTTTCTGGAACTATAGAACTTAGAACAGTTTTAATTTAGATTTTTTTTAAATTTCACTTTTTCACTTTGCAGAACTTTCTTTTTCCATTCCAGCAAATCTAGAACTATTGAAAAGCTACTCAGAACCATGGCAGAATTATACAAGGTGAAGTAATTAGAGCGAGAGGAAAGATTTTGACACTGCCTTATTTGAAAAATTGCCTTTAAAATTTGACTATAAGGCAGCCGAATGTCAGAAAATAAAGGGAGAAAGCTGTTTTATTACTTCACCTGTTTATTGCGCCGTGCTCAGAACAGTCTTAATTTTTATTTTTTTCAAACATTCACTTTTTTCGACTTCTTTGGAATTTTTTTTTTCTCATCTAATTTTAAAGAACTTTTTTTCCTTTTCAGGAACTATTGAAAAGCTACTCAGCACAGTTTTTTATTTGCTCTTTTGCCACATGTCTTGTTCTGCGTGAATCTAGCGATTTTTTTGGTAAAAATATCCAGAAATTTTTTTTTTTTCAGGAACTCTAGAGTTATTGAAAAGCTACAGAGAACAGCATTTTTTTGTATGCCAACTTCCCAGACATATTAAAGTTTACTGCAGCCAGAAGGGACGGGCTATTAATCAAACCTGCCATTAATTTAACTTGGAAACCAATAATAAAATTTTTTATAGTCAGCATGTGTTTCATTGTAGGGGTATTCTAAGGACTTTTTTGTCACCCTCGTATACTACATGTGAAAATCAATGAAATACTCACAAGGCAGTTGGATTAGACAACTTAAATGTTACATCTATGAGGTCCTGCTCATCGTAAAAGTTGCATATGTTATTCAGTAATTTCTTGACGAAAGGTGTGAGGCCATAACCAATCACATTTGGTATTAGTTGACGTGTACCATTTGTTGCCATTGCTGGGCGTATTGAAATTTCCTTTATTGATGGGAATTTATGTACTCGTACTTTTGCTGGTGGTTTGTATTTACTATGGAGCGCTTATGACCTGTTGATCAGTCTATTATAAAGTTATCTTCTAGAATATGATTTGTGTATGCCTAGAATGTATATCTGTATATAAGTATGTATGTTTATCCTATACTGCAAACAAGCATTCTTACAGATCTACATACTTACATACATATGTATGTATATTGAGACTTAGTTTTACTTACTTATGAAACAATGCAGAAGATCAAATATTTAAAACTGCTGGAACAACTCCAAGGTTTGAAAATTCTTTGTTGTAGCTCGGATGAACGCTAATTGTTATTTGCAAAATTTTAGAAAGTACAAGTTTTCGATTTCTTTTGCACACTTCTCCTACAGGAAAGCCGTTATTGAGTTCACCAGTCAAACGGAACAACGCAAAGTTTTAACTTCTGGCTGTAGTTTTCTGTTAAGACTATAGACAAGGCGAATTCATATATTTACATACATAATAGCATAGACAGACGTTAGCGTTGACCCGAATCAACTCGTGAATTCTGAATTATCTCGGTATTTAACTGCAGTTGATCCGGGTTAAGTCTTAGAGTGAAATTTTAAAATTTATGTGGATCAGGGGCCTTTTCGCCGAATGAAAAATAAACGGAGCACAAAAATGGATAAGTTTGGTGAGCAATTTTTAAATATTATAGTTTTTTAATTTTATATTTTTTTTAATTTTTTATATGCATATTTTTTTAAATTATGTTTATTTATATATTTTATTTTATTCTTTTTTTGTTTTAATCTTAGATCATATAATTATTTCGAGCTAATTAAATTTTTTACAGTTTAATTTTATTAAATTGTTTAAATTTTATAAAAAGAAACTAGCAACACCGGCGCACTTTGCTACGCCAAAAACGCACGAATTCAGAGTTTTTAAGTTGATTTTTTTTAATTCCTTAATGCTAACGGCTAAAAAATTTGTGGTTTTTCTATTTGGCTACACTTGCATGATTTTGACATACGATTTTTTAGGTAAGCTCTTTTCGCTTTTGCACAAAAGGTCCCAGCTGATTTGCATTGAACTGCTCTTCTCACCAGTGATGGAAAAGTAGGTACAAATGTACTTTTTTTTAGCCGTTTTATAATTTTAAAGTACATTCAGCCAAATAAATTTGCCTAAATGAATCTATCTGGGCTTGGATAGCATAAGTCAAAGGGCCACGACGAACCTTGTGCAGATTTGTTTGCATTTGTTGCATTCGAACACATCTCTTCTTAAATAGATTTGTATACCTTTCATGAGCATGAAATGGTATTATAACCTTAGTTCGATGTTTGTAAGTACCAGAATAAGATGAGACCCATGAAAATGTATACTTATACATGGTGGGCCAAATAAAACCTACCAACTTCACGCAGCAGGCCCATAGTTTGCCTAGCGGTGTGCGCAGTCACTCCATCTTGTTGGAACCAGAAATTAGGATGCTGCCTGTTGCACACTGGGGCCGCCCCATATAAGCGGGTGCTCAAAATTTTGAAATAATTTTCTTTCCATTAGACTCGCTTGAACTACTTTCTAACAGTAAATTTTTGACGTCTTAACCCATTATTGATCATGCATTAACCCATTGGTGATCCAGTTTTTTGTAAAATCTTATGTTAAGTTAATTTGATTTTATTATTGTGCAACATATGAATAATTTAACCCATTTACGACTTTGACTTAAAGCATGGATAACCATATTTTAACCCATTTGTGGTCAATTTTTTTATAGAGCATTTCCCAGCTAAACTTAATGGGATAAATGCACGGTCAAAACAAAGTTGAAAGTAAAAATAATTTCAGCTCTCTAAAAATATTTTTTTTGGGAAAATTTGTCAAAAAAGTCGAAATTATTTTTAGTTTCGTCTTTGATTCGACTATGAATATGACTCATTATGTTTTGAATTTAAAGAGATTTACAAATTAAGCATACAAAATATCGAAAAGCAAGTAATGTATCTAATTAAAATCATTACTTAATTAAAAAATCAGCTAAATTTTTATAAAAAAATTAATTAAAATAAAATAAAAACAAGTAATTTTTGAGCAAAAAACAAAGCCGACTTCAATTCTCATATACAAATTTAAGATTATCGTTAATTTCTTCACGATCCAATTATCGGTACCACCCTTCCGATGAAAAAAATTATCAAAATCGTTATTTTTATCGTTTATTAAAAACAAAATCCGACGAATTGATAACCTCCTCCCTTTTTTGAAGTCGGTTAATGAAATAAATAGTCAAAACATAAATTAAATTAATTGAAGTGCAAGTTTGAATTAGCTAGGACTTACGTATTTCCATACGAAGTATGTTCGACGATTTTTTATATGGAGAAAATGAGCGACACCTTCACCCTTCAAACTTGCACTCAAAATCTTTTCTAAATATCTAATTAAAAACACCGTTATTTTTATGAAGTTTGAAACTTACATTTATTCGATTATTGTTAAGAAATAAATATATTAAAAAAAAAATTATTCAAATTAAATAATAATAAAAAAATAGTCAAAACTTGTCAATATGTGGGTGTCTCATAGTTATAATAAGCACTATATAATGAAAACTGTGACACTTATTCCTCATAGTTGGAATATAAATTCTACTATAGATCTCTCTAAAGTTTTTAAAGTCCTTGTTCGAAGCAAATGCGCTTTTTAATCATTGAGTAACCTCAAAATAATAAAAATCATAAGTTCGAAATGAAACAGACTCAAACTTAACCAGAAGTGTACGCTTTTTGTTGTTTGTTCAAATGTGTCAAGTTAGCACACGCATTCTCCGAGCCGAAAAACGACAGAAAGCTGAAAACTTACCCTCAAACGTAGAATTTAATGGGGAATAAACCATAATAGGGTTTTTTCCAAAAACAAAAAAAAAAACATTTTTAAAAAATTGAATTTTGAGCACGCTTGCCCCAGTGTGCGTTGGCCGCAAAAAGTTGTCAATCATTATTCTGTAAGAAGCCCCAGAAATCGTTTCAGGAATTTCATCCTCATTCTCGTGAAAATATGGGCCGATAACTTTTGCGGCCATAACACCGCACCAGTGCATCTGGATGGGTATAACTGGTGTTGGTGTGTTGCCCTTGGATTATCAGAGTCCCGCAATCTACAGTTTTGCTTGGAAATGCGCTTCATCCGACATTAGAACATTACCTAAAAAATCAATTTGTGTGGCTAATTGTGTAAAACGAATAGCGTCTTGCTGTAGGTATCCATATGATTTTCCAAGAGATTACCTACATATAACATGCCGAAAGGAAAGACCAATAATATTAAAAGATAAAGAAGTTATACATAGGTGTTTAACATTGGTAGGTCTTATTTGGCCCACCCTGTACTATATATGCTGAAGGGAAACTTATATCAAAAAACCTTTCAGAAATATGTATGCTACTTTAAGAATTTTTAAAATTCTCTTGGTTTAAAGATCTTTGTGCTCTAGAGTTAAGAGCCCAATTATATTCTGAATAAGCAATTACAAAAAACCAAATGAGTCGGCTATTGGTTTTTATGTAAAACTTTTAAATTAATTTAGTTTGCAACTTTCCTTTCAGATTTTTTAGAAAAATTATGCAGTTTTGTTGCCCATTAAATTTTAGTCTAATAAAGTTCAAGTTTGAAGTTGCTAAAAAATCGTATTGATTTCTGGGATTTTTTTTTTGCTGACGGTGTTATTTCTTTTCTTCAAAAAAAATTTGTCGAACATACACTAAGCGAAATAGCTATATGGGACAAACCAAGTTCTTAATTTTTCTTCTAAAATATCTGCATACTATTTTCTTGAGTCGCCTTATAATACACACAAATGTATGCACGTACTAGCGGTAGTTTTAAATTATTTACTCTTTCGCTTCAAGTTCCGTTACGTTTGAGCTTTGCTTGAAATTTGAGTTTCTAGAAGGAAATAGTTATAAGGAACAAGCGCGTCCGTGAACACTTTATTTCTTGTCGTGGAAATTGCGTGATATTTTTATACAAATTTAACAATTTTAAAGACTCCTTAAGGAAAGTTGAGTAGTTTTAATTACGAAATAAATAATGCTCATGCTGGGAAAATAACCTTTTAGGACACTATGCCAAGAGGAACGCAGTTATCTACTGAGGAGCGCGCTAGTATTCTAGCTTATAGTGAATCGGGAGTCCCAGTTCGCGAAATAGCGCTAAAAGTAAAACGAAATAAAAATACCATCCAAAATTTTTTGAAGAATCCCGATGGGTACGGAAAAACTAAAAGAACTGGTCCGAAACCTAAGATTGACGACAGGTGTAAGAGAGAGATAAGACGGTTGGCTGTCAATAAAAACATCAGCCCTAACCAAATTAGAAATGAACTTTCTCTCAATATTACGAAGAGAAGAATACAGCAAATTTTGAGTGAAGATTCCAATTTAAAATACCAAAATCGACTGGCTAAACCAAAGCTTACGCCACGCCACAAGGCAGCTCGGCTCGAATTCGCCGATAATCATAAGTTCTGGGATGATGAATGGCAATCCATCATTTTTAGCGATGAAAAAAAAATTAATCTCGATGGGCCAGATGGTTGTCAAAAGTATTGGAGAGATATTCGTGAGCCTCGACAAATCCGCCACTCCCGAAACTTCCACGGTGGCTCTCTTATGACCTGGGCTGCTTTTAGCTACCGCGACAAGACGCCAATTTGTTTTATTTCTCATAAGATGAACGCAGAAAATTACATTGAAGTATTGGATGACGTTTTATTGAATTTTGCCGAAGAATTTCACGGTGAGTCTTGGACGTATCAACAGGATAATGCTCCAATCCATAGTGCTAAGCGTACAAAGGAGTTTTTCGCGTCGAAAAATATTCCTGTGCTGAAGTGGCCTGCAGTTAGTCCAGACCTAAATCCAATGGAGAACCTCTGGAGCATTCTTAGCAAACAAGTTTATAAAGGTGGACGCTAATTTGATACCCTATTGCAGCTCAAAAAAGCTATTCAAGAAGAATGGGCAAAAATCGACCTAAGTGTCCTTCAGTCACTCGTCAATTCCATGCCACGCCGGCTAGTATCACTCACAATAAACAACGGAGGACATACAAGCTATTGAATATT